GCCAGAGAAGCACTTATTCCACTGAGCCATCTCCCTGGCCCATCTTAGTACTTATAATCACTGCAGCGCTGGCTTTGAAACAAAATAAGAAGCACTTCCTTATACAAAATTCACAGTCTTGCTACTAGTCCTCTAATAAAAATATTCAATTTTCAGAGCTGCAGATTTCAACAACATACTGTGAAAAAGCAGCCTGGTGTGCCTAATTAATATTATTACATGTAATTAATTGATTTTTAATCATATCAGAAGTACTTTTAAAGAAATATTAATTATGTAAAGAACATTTTTAATTTTTCAAATTTTCATGATACATTAAAATGGTGTTGGCGGCAAGCAGGTTGTCATGAAGGAAAATTATTCATGCCTGGAAAATTCATTGTTCAGTTCTTCTGCTTCCAAGTGTATCATATATTCATTGCCTATTATTGGGACCATGGGCTACATAGTGCTTCTCATAATAACTCCTAATGTTTCGGGATCCTGCACTGGGGCAGAATCTCTGTTATATGAGTGCTGTCAGTATATTCATGCCTGGATTCAAATTTCTAACTTCCTGCTAATATACTTATTTTTAATCGGGGCTAGTTTGGTAACCCAGAATAGAATGCCTCGACACAGCAATGTGTGGGAATAATGAAATGTTAAGTGGTCCATGGGAAATAATCTTTAATTTTATTTTAGAGATTAAACCTGTTTTTGACATTTTTCTATTTCAAGACTTGATTGTCTGATGAGTCAGGGAGTCATTCACCCTATTTTAAGCTAAAAATGTCCTATGTGAAAAGGATCAAATGATAGTTTAATAGCCAAATATGGCTCAGGCCAGGGAAAGAGGATATTTCCTGAGAGATGGAAACAGAAAGCAGAATTGGGATGTTGTCTCTGCAAGAACTTAGCCTGGAAATTGTTCTTGTGGGGGAGTTCATCACAGCCCCTCCATAAAATCTTAATTATAGAAACACCAAGTGTATAGACAGGCACAAGGAGAACTGCTAATGTGGGAAACACCAGTGGGCCTTCTGATAACCAATCAGGACAGGTTAAAATACTGCAAACTCTAGTTTTATGCAGAACATTACAAAAGCAAGAATGACATCAGTAACTAGAACTACAGTGCTATGACGAATATGCTTTTCTGAATCTCTAAACTGAAGCTGCTGCATCAACCAATTACAGAACAATTTATCAGTAAAAATGCTATGACGTGAAAATCTCCCAAGCAATGTAGATGATATGAGATTGGATTTAACTCCAGAACCACATTATTTTATATCTGAAGTCAGTGTATGTGTCTACTTTGGAAACAAGATCTCACTGTGTAGCTCAGGCTGGCCTTGAAGTCACAGAGATCTTCCTGCCTCAGCCTTCTGATTCCCAGGTTCACAGGCATGGGCCCCCACACCCAGCTGGTGTGTACATTTTTTAAGCTGTTATTCGCTATTTGCATTTCTGATCATGTGGTATTTTCTTACATCCTCTATTAATTCTATAGTGACTTTTATAATCTTCTAGTAAACAATACATACGTAGTATCCATAATTGTGATACGTTCTTTTGCCCAGAGGGGGCACCACATTTGTAATAATAAAATAAAGATAATTTCCTTTCCTGGAATGCTTCACACTATATACAAATATGCAAATTTATCACATTCAATTTCTAAATGAAGTTTAGATTCTTTTATTTATTTATTTATTTTACATAAAAAATAGCAAATATATAATTTAGTAAGAAACTAACACCTTCAGAATGATTTCTTAAATGTAAAAATTGGCTTTGGTCTACCATATATGCCATTTGACATTCGTTTCTTTTTTTTTCTTTTCCTAGTGCATAACTTCTAAATATATATATATATTTTTTTCAACAAATAATACACTGCATATATTCTTCTTAGTGGTTAATTGCTGTACAAGATGCGGACTTGTGATCCTATTTACAAACACCATTAGAACAAATCATTCTATTCATTAACAGAATGTAACTATATATCTATCCCAACCACTTTGAATACACAGATACAAAATGGACATTCATCGGTATACCCCATTTTTTCTAAGTTCCGTTATTGAATATTATAGGTGTGTAAACTCAGCAAAATATTCTAAAAGAGTCCAGTAGCCCATAATAGCATTGGGTCTTCTGTTTAACTGGCAATGTCAGAAATTATTGACCTGAGTCCCCCACAGCTCAACTTAACAGCATGGCTTTATTTCTTATAATTTCTTTATTATGAGAGACCCATATCACCTTTCTATCTCTTATCACCAATAATTGATCATAATCCGAGGCAAGTAACACATTAACTGTGAATCACTAAACCTTATATATTTTCATCACACAGAGTAAATTCATAACCAAGATCTATCCAATAAAGTCAGAAAATAACCTCTGTATAAATTTAAGGTTAGGGCTAGGTTAGATTCACAGGCCTGCTGTGCCAGCCGTGCACCCGGGGTGCGCTAAAACAGTGATTGAGACTAGGCATGGTGTCGCATGCCTGTAATCCCAGCTCTTGGGAGGCTGTAAACAGAAGAATCACTACAAGTCCGATCTACTAGCAAGACCCTGAACACCCTGTAGACCTTCCCTAAAATACAAAATAAATAAAAATTATAAATAATAAAGTTTATTTGACAAGCACTACTGTAATACCTAATTCCTAGTATTTTATTTTATTTTTCAGTGTTGTAAAGCAAGCGATAGGGTAACTATTTCACTAGAGGGGATAGACGATGGCAATTTTCTCATATATTACAATGGAAAGAGAAACTAAGAAAGAAATTCAGCTTCTGTAAAGAGCAAGAATATTCAATATCCACTAGTTTGCAGCAGAGGGGAAAATGTCTCTTAACGCTCCTGCTTCTAACCTTTTTCTCCATACAAGGGCACAGACGAAACTATCAAAATTCGCAGCATCCATTGTTCATTTGCCCACCAAGTGTTCATGGAGTGCCTCCCTGCGCTGGAGGCCCGCAGATCTGAGCTCTCAGGGTACACACAAGGACATGACAGAAAATGTCCTGCCCTCATGGAGAAGTGGTTCTTCCAGCAGGAGACCAGCAGGCAATAAACAGGAGCAAGTGGGTAAACAAAACTACTTTGGACAAAGCTCAGAAGAAGCCGTGAGACCTCGGGGTGCTCCCAGGGCCGGTGCGCGGTCCACCTGGAGACCTGAAGGCCGGCCTGGCGCTTTCCTGCAAAGAAACGCAGACCTTCGCAGGCCTGGGCCTAACGCATGGGGCTTTCTCCTCTCTCTCTCTCTCTCTCTCTCTCTCTCTCTCTCTCTCTCTCTCTCTCTCTCTCTCT